GAATAATTACCATCATAGTCTTTATAGAAAAGTTACGGGGATGTTTCATGATCGCCGAAGAGTATTTGCGCATAAGAGAATGTAACGCATCAGACCGGAATTCGAAAATTTAGCTCCGATTGCGAATTCCTAGCCATTATCCATTACATCACCCGCACCTCCAAGGTTTCAGAAGCTGGTATTCCAAAGCGGCCACTCGTCTAGGTACTGACTAGAGCCGAAGTTGATCAGACGAGGACCGGTGTTTGCTTGTGATATGGCCGTAAGCCACATTTTAGATTGTAACCATTGAACTTTGATAAATTCTGGTGATCATTGTAATATAACGGATAATTTAATCAAATATTGCTAGCATTTCATAAACCGTTTGTTCTTAACATTAGTCACCTAGGGGAATTTTATTGTTATACTGAAATAGGTTGATATCGGTTCACCGTGTTCAAACCGAGAGAAACTGTAGGATAAATCGTTTGAAGTCTTGAACCCCAGGACAGCCTGAGTGAATTTTTAAACACGCCTTGCGATTAAATAATTTATATCTCACTAGTAGCTTCGATTATGGAGTAATTACTTGTAAAATAAGGAATAAATAGCTATTTGCTTTATATCGCTTGCCTCATATTAATCCAAGCGAAGAAATTAAAGATAATATATTCTTTTCTCTCTTGTCTCTATAATATTATTGAAATAATATTCTTTAATTCAGAGCCTCGATTTTTCGACCGAACTGACATGTTAATGTAACAATAAAATCTACAGGACGTGTGAGCAACGAAAATGTCTGAAATAAAATAGATACTACTTAGGAATATAAGAATAAATATATAAGAATCGAGATAAAAATATAAAGATACAAATAAAAAGATAAAATAGATACTACTTAAAAATATAAGAATAAATATATAAGAACTGAGACTTACAGTCAGAAAGCATTAATTGAAATTTTGTGAATATAATGAAGAATACATCGAAAGAATAAACTATTACTGCGCAGGTTGAAAGCAAAATAAGCAGCAGGGGAAACACCGAGTAAACTACTTGACGAGAACATGGATATGAATTGATGGTAAATAGTCAAAAGTTACTTAAAGCAACAAAAGATGGAAGTAGTTGAGAGCCATGATCGTCGATCATGGCTCTCAACTACTTCCAGTAGTATTCATTGCTTGAGCGAATGGTAGATTTATAAATGCGCAAGATGGACTCTGATCAGAAAAAAAATTTCTGGCATGGCACAATGAACCATTTTTCCTTGCAGTAGATGCCGTTACTGATTTTATGTATTTGTCCCAATTCAAGTCAGCTTAAACATGAGTCCAAGAAACGAAGTGTGTTGCTCTCCAGGAGTCTAGCATTAGCCATATTGATGGCAGGCACAAAAGTCTCCCTACAGTGCTTATAATAAGAGCAGACTTGTTTTGAATGCGTTCATATTTACAAGCTATTTCCTACCCCAGTTAACGACTGATTGGAGGTCATTTTGAAGGGCATCAGGTTTCGTGTGATAGGATCTGATAGGAAGAAATAGATTTAATAGGAAGGAATGGATTAAATCAGGCAATCATCACGTAATACCGTTGTCTGGAGCCTGCGCAGAAGACCAGCGTGCTAAACCATGTCAAACGCCTTCGAGATGTCTAGAGCCACAGCTTGAGCTTCGCCGTTATTATCAAGAGCATTCAGTGATGGTTTTAACACATCAGCGGTAGACTGAGCGAAATGGAAGCCATATAGTTTGTCCTTGAAGAAGTCGTGAGAAGTAAGCTGCTTAACCACTTCAGCATTGATTAGAGCCGTGAATATTTTGGTAAAAAGCCGTCGGTGACTAATAAGGCATTAGTTTAAGGGATCAGAGAGTTCTCCAGAATTCTTAAAAACAGGAACTACAGAGAAGAACTTCTGACAAGCTAGAAAGCAGGAAGAAGCGAGGCAATTGTTGTAGAGTTTGGAGAGAACTGGAGCCAGCTCGGCAGTGGATTTCTTTAGAACGGCGACTAGGATTCCATCATCTCGGTTTGATCTGTGGGTGCCTAGTTTGAAAAACCAATTATGCACATATCACTCAGTAGAGCCTCTGTTCTTGGGGAAAATCAGGTGTGGGTATTCCAGATTAGTCGAGTGTGGTGTCGGAAGAGAACTTTCGAACAAATCATTCAACCTTATCAGCTGTAAATGCCAGGGATTGAGGATTTGCTATTTTCAGAGTCGCCAATACTCTTTAGAACTGAACTTCTGAGAGGCTTATACATTGTTTCACTCTATCGGCAAACAGTAACTTCTTTATGGACACGCTTTCACTCATTACGAGCAGAGACAAAGAGATGTATGTTTCAATCAGACATGTCGCTCTGGTACAGCCGGAATTAGAGATTGCTGTGGGCTATAGCGGCCGAGCATGCAGATGAGAATCAAGGAGATGAATGTGGTTTCACTTGGTATTTCCATTGCTGGAATGAAAGCTTCAATGCCTGTTTTGACCAGGAGGAAACTTCAGAGGCGCTTTTTTAATAGGATGGTTTCAAACGAATGTCTCGGAATGAATCCCAATCAACTCGTTGATAACAGAAATATATTTTGTTGGTAGGCTGTTCTTGGCTGTTGGGAGAGCAGAAAGAGATGTTTACAAACATTACCGTATAGTCAGAGTTGCCAAGAGGACAGAGAGGCAGAATATGACATGAGTCAGCGATAGAGACGATCAAGAAGAGAAACGTGACAATCAGGATTACTAGGCCAACGCGTGGTAAAGTCCACTTAACATTACTAGGACTGTTTCCTGTGATGAGAGATATATTAAGATTATGGCTACTTCCTTTGTGATCACTGAAATTAATCAACGCCGAAACTATTCAATACCTTAATGGGTGATCACTTAGGTGTATCAGGTGTTGTAAGCTTGGATGTGCAGGTGGTGTAATGGATAATGGCTCAGAATTGTTAATCGGAGAACCGAGTTCTAATTATTTAAAACCAGAAAAAATTTCAGTTTGTAAGATATTTGTTTTTTAATGATATAGTGATACAAGTCTTATTAATTAACCCATATCTGAGGAGTAGGAAGAAGAGGTGGATTCATACCATTTACAGTGGTATTTACGCGTAAATGAATATGACAAACCCAACTGCAATTGGAACTTTGCACTTCGATTAACAATTTTAAGCCATTATCCATTACACTACGCGCACATCCAAGCTTACTTGGCATTCCAAACAAAATCGAATTTGCTGATTTAGACAACGAAGATTTCTCTTAAAGTTTCCAGTTGGTATCTGTCTGAGGAAAAGATTCGAAACTCAAATTTACACTGAAAACAAACTCAATGTTACATCGTTGATACAACTACTTAGATGATATCACTTGCTACTATTCAGTTACGGGCCAGACTATAAAAATTGTTGACAGCCGTGTCGCATCAAACGGGTTTTTTTTTGGGGGGGGTTTTAAATAATATTCATTTAATATAAGGTTTAGGATTCACTCAAGCTTGAGGTGTACTGAATGAGGTTTTTGATATGAACATAAGAAAGAGAAAATGATCATTATTATAAATAACTTTTGATGATAAACTTGAAGAATAGGAAGGAAACGTAGTTTTACACAATCTTTTTGCACAATCAAGAAACTAGGAAGTACAACTTATTTACTCCCACATCTGTTACTTTTATTTGAGTTGTGTCACGTCCCTTGAGTAATACGGGATTTGTAGAGCACGAATTGAAATTTTAAACTCGAAAGGTGACATATAGCGGAAGGAAATTTTTACGGTTCAATTAGCCTAAAAGTTTCTTTGTTGTACTATGGGATACAAATATCGTCACAAAATCAAGTAGTGTTCAGTCTACAGCGAAAAAGGTTTATTGATACCTTTCCTATATAAGATTTACGCGACTAAAGGACATGTCACATAACAAAAATAAGAGGAATTATCAGTGGTTAGAAATTAGAGAAAATATGACCAAAAGTATAGAACTATGTGTTTAATATTGATTGAAGAATAACCGAAACATACGTTTAGAGAAAAATACTACTTGATTACGTTATACTTTGATCATTTGTGAATATCTATGCTGAGGATACAATGGTTGCACCTCTAAAACCCTTAAAATTATTTGAGCTTAGTAGCTGATCTCTCCTCTGACCTAACGTTAACAGCTCAGTGAAAGGGGAACCTAGCTGTTTATATACAATGTCTCGAAAAAGAAACTAGTCACATTCCACCCTCGCCGATCTAAACCAGAATTTCACAGATGTCCTCTCAGGGAGACCCCCTGCTTGAGCGCCTGTTTGGGACTTAAACTCAGCCTAGACTACAAGTGGAACATATACATACCATCCATCGCTAAGGATGCTGGGAAAATGGTCGGTTTTCTGTATATTTCCTGCTGCTATACTCTGCATTTACAAGATCAGGCCTAAAATGTACTGCTGTTATATATGGGCAAGAGCTGCAGTCTTCAGTTTCTACAATCGATAGTTTTCGTGTCATTGTGGATGTCGAATTATTTTCCACCCCAAAAACCTTTTCTCAGAGGCAAGACGTTACAACCTTCTCAAGGCTCTATTGCTATTTCCATGGAAAGTTGTCAGATAAACTAGATTCGTAAGTTCCATCAGTTCTTTCATGGCTTAGACCCACTATGCCACAAACATTGTGGTATGGTGGGTCTTATCTTATATTTTATCTTCTAAACATATCAGCTTAACCTGTGTCTATTATTCTGTAATATTCTACCGTAATTGTAAAGAAATATCTATAGGAAAAAAAATCCTACGCATTTATTTTTCTGGAATTAATTTTACATATAGTTTCCTATCGACAACGTTAGGATGAAAAACATTAGTAATTTTTTTCTAAAATCATAAATATACAAAATCCTTTGAATCCGAATAATCTTTGTTGACGTTGCAATCGCTACGTTGTATTCGCATCTACACATAGAGAAAATTGCTATATCGAGGCTGAGAACTTTTCTACGAGCCGTTTTGTCGGACGGCTTACAGGAACCGAATGAGTTTCGAACAGAACAGGTGCCCCGGGTCAAATTTATATGACGAAGAAAGAAGGTCACTAAATACTTGGCTATAAAGCAGGGAATCTGCGTGCCGGCCATTGGATAATTTACGTAGACCCCGAAGCCACGATGCCTACCGTCAACCCTTTGATGTAAGATGAGGCAACGTTGGTTTTGGTGGTGATAGAGAGATGCCAAGGGAGGCCGCTCTTCACAACTGCGCCTCCTAGAGTGACGACGAAAGCAAATTATAAACTGGATTTTTTCTAACGGACTCTCTTTGTTTACCTTTCCAACATTCACCGAACTCTTCTGTACCGAGCCATTTTGACTCGAAATAGCGTCCGTCTGAACTCAGAAAGTATTTGATTACATCACATGAAACGGAGAAATATCGATATGTAAAATTATAAACACTTTAGTTTAATCAAAAGAGCCTTGTTTTAATCAGAATAATATTATATTAATAATTATGTTAATGCTGATGAAAAAAAAAGAAGACACTTTTCTTAATGACTAATTTAAGAAATAGGTCGTTTGGCTGTGAGGAGCAAAATTAAATCCGATTTTTTGTCAGTTCGTTCGGAATCTGTCTAGTTTTCCATTTACTCTGTCAAAATAACGTGAATTGGTTGAATTATTTTTATACTCTGTGGGTTACTTAAAGCCGAAGATTATTTTGGATTATATGGTTGCTTAAAGTACCCGGTGTTTTCAAGCGGTCCCCCCTCTAAGTACTGGCCGCACTCAATGCTGGTTAACCTCAGTGTCCGAACGAGATCAAACGACGTGAAGATGTGAAGAAGAAACTTCAAGCTTTGCTGAAACGATTGAATAATACTCAGTCTTTCAAACGTTTTCTTGTTTGCTCATTGTATTCATATTCTCATTTTAAACCACTTTAAGCTATTCAAATTGTTCATTTTCTAAATAGAATTGTAAGGACAAAAGTACGCAGGTGTAGGCCTTAAGAAAGCTTTATTCAACTGAGAATACAAGGTCTGCAAATAGTGTCCTTTCATAGTCCCAGTAAAAAGAAATAACTCTCTCAAAAAGGACAATGATAAAACAAATAAATATATCATTAATCCTTGGGGATTCAGATATATTATGACTTTTAATAGACTGATTTGTTTTTAACGGCTTATCATCACTTTGTGAATTATTTAAAGACGAAATATGTTGTGGATTGTAACTTTCTTTTCTTTTTTTTTTTTTTTTTTTTGCACAGGCAATTTTCTGAGCAGAACAATATTTTACCAGATACCAATACAGCTATTTAATCCATAGGCGGGGAGGAGATGGATTGCACCAAGCTAAGGGTATTTGCATGTAAGTGAATGTAACGAATTCGATTCAAATTCGAACTTGGTTCTATCGATTACACCACAGACAATATATTTCCAGAGGCGATAAATGCAATTTTTTTTATTATCAAACCGTTTGAAAATTAAATAGATTTACAATATAACATAGAAAACTGTACAACTAGTTATATTTTTATTGATAGAAGCAAATAATGAATCCGCGTATATCTGACAGTTTTATGCGAAACAGTCGTAAAAAGAGTAAATTTTAAATGATCGTTATTAGGCAGAGCACAATTTAAATAGACAATCATATTCACGACAGACTCTAAATTACGAGTCTTTGCAAGCATTGCACTTTAAATAACCGGTCTTATGAATTATGCACCTTAAATAAGCAGTCTTAAACATAGTACAATTTAAATAACCAGTTTTATGAACATTAAATCTTAAATAAGCAGTTTTATACACTTCAAATTGCCTTGTAAATAAAACATTTTTAAACAACCAATTTCTTAATACTCTGGAAAAGATGTTACCTTTCTAAATTGCCATCCTTACGCATGAAATAGATTTGACTTTCTCAAATTGTGATTCTATATATTTACAAATTTTATAGAGTTTCTCTAAATCGCTCGCCTCTTTTATATAACCTGACAATTTTCTAAAGTATTGACATTGTACGACGTCTATCATACTTCTCTAAAATTGTCGCCACTGTCAAAGTTCGATGGAGTTCCGTCTTTTTGAAATCTACTTCAGAAATTACCCAATGAATTTGTCTGTGTTCACCGTTAATGAGGTTACTTCAATAGAAACGAGATCTACGTATGACAGAAATGGACAGAAAAAATCTCTTCAAATATTTTCTGGCGTTAAATGACCTGCGAATGGTTGATATATATATATATATAACTTAAAATAAAAGTTAAATAATAATACATAATAATAATACATTTAAACCTTACCACAAAGAACACCAAACTGCTAATTATATTAACTTTAACTCGAATCACCCCTATACTATCTTGAAGCAGATACCAATTACCGTTGGTTCTAGAATCAATAAACTATAATCTAATAAGAATATATTTAATAAGAATAAGGCACTGTTCGAAAATGCCCTCCACAAAAGTGATTCTGTACATATATTATCTTACTTAAATCCCACAAATAAGCATAGCGAATTTAAGTGTAGTAATCCACACAAAAATAGACAAGGAAATATTATTTAGTTCAATCCTCACTTGTGTAGATTGTCTAGAATTAATATTAGACAAATTTTCCTGAAACGTATAAACAAACATTTTCAGAATAGCAACTCTCTAGGTAAGATATTCAATAGAAAAACCATTAAAATAAGTTATTCATGTACTAACAACATGTTTAAAGATATTGACTTCCACAACAAATAAATCCTTAACAAATTCAATTGCGTCAACAAGAATTCTAATACGCCATGCCGCGTAATTGTAGAAATAGGAACCTTTGCCGAGTCTTGGGAAAATATAGAGCATCTAATGTTATTTATCAAGCCACCATTTACCCTAAAGAAAATAAATGAAACCACCAATTTTATATTGGGATTTCTGCGGGGGAATGGAAAAAAAGACTTTATACACACAAAAACTTTTTTCCAACCCAAGACCAAAACACCAAACATTTTGGGAACTGAGGAAGGAAGACCTGAACCCTCAAACTAACTGTGAATTTATAGGTTTTGCTCGGTCTCCAAATAGCTTTAAGGGTAGTTGTAGTTTATGCTTGGAGTAAAAAAATAAAATCATTATATTTAAGAAATCAAAATATTCTACTAAACAAAAGGAATGAATTGGTATCTAAGTGCTGCCATAGGAAAAAATTCCAACTCGCATAATATTATTTCAACCTCAAACTCCAAGTGTCGCCATAGGAACAAATTTCAGCTAACATAGTATCAGCTGAACTTCGCACTCAACTCTTTCATTTATATTTTTATATGTAAATGTTTTTCTATTGTGACATCTTCCCTATATGTAATTGTTTTTCTATATGTGAAATTGATTTCGAGATGTAGAATTTCCTTCTATATCTAAATATTTCTATCCCTGTTACATGTTTTCTATATGTGGAATTTTCTTCCGTATTTAACTGTTTTTATAATACTACATTTTTTATATATTGGATTTAAATTTAATCCTCTACAGAATTTTTAAATAATTAATATAAATATGATATAATTTAAATTATAAACTTAGTATTTGAAAATTTATTGATATTATATTGATATAATGAGTTTGGTTATATTTAAATGAAATTACTATATTAATAATTTACCTAATTTTTTTCCTGTAACTTTTACTCTGTAGTTAAAGATGTTGTATTGAATGGATTGATATTATATTTTTTTTTTAAAAATGTATTAATTTTAAATTCTTACTCCCATTCTATGATATTTGTAAGCTCCTCTTTAAAAAGTTTCATAGCAATTTTTGTTCATTCTTTTTCCTTGCTTATAGGTTACATTTATGTCAGTGTCCATTTTCAACCATCGACTTTATTTGTACTCAACTCCACTACAATCACGTTAGGTCCCTTAACCCTCTTTCTCTATATAACTCTCACCTCTATTATAGGCCAATTGTTACTCCCTCTCCTTTTATTCTTTCCTTTTTCTTTTTTCCTTCTTTCTTTCCTTTACCTTTCATATTTGCTATGAAGAAACGTTTTATTCATTTTAGTAAATGTATATGCATTGACAATACCGGGTAAAACGACATTCTCATGGACGAAATGATGATCTGTATGACGTAATTCGTTTGGATCTCATTAATTGTAATACACATAAACACACACACATATATATATATATATATATATGAGAGGGAGGGGCAGAGAGTGAGAGAGAGAAATAAATAAAATAGATTTGAATAAAGAACAATGAGCTTTCTTTTCGATTAATTCTCTATATTTCAGGATAACTCCTGGTTTCCGGTGATAATTGTACTGAAAAATGGCATTAAGAATAGATACTTATAAATAAAAAGACATAGCATGTTAAAAAAGATTAAAATGATATAGCACAGGAATTCAATATATATATATATATATATATATATATATATATATATATATATATAGTCACAACCTTATCGACCAAATTTTATAATGGCTTATGAAAGCCCAGGGTACTCAAGGGCCATTTATACTTAAAATTTTTACTGGAAACTAGGCGAAACTGATTTCTCTTTATCTCACCCTGCATAAATTTATATTTCATTTTTGCGTTGTGGAATTAACAGTACTTTAATATATTCGAACAATTGATCTCATCTTGATTATTATAGACACAACGTTTCGGCCAAGAATTCAATCACCATCTTCAGGTGTCCATCATTTTGGTATTATATTGAATATCAGTTATGTATTATGTTATTTTGACCCCGTAATGCCAGATAGTGAAAAAATACGTGCTAATTCAACAGGAACGAATAAGGACAGGCAACATAAGAACAAAATCAAACAATAATAGAGATATATCCAATATAAACAAAAATAATGGAAACCTGTTTATATAGATTTAATATTTCAATGTGTTTGCTTTTCACATGAAACTCCCAAATATAGCCCATTGGTGCTGCGAAGTCCTTACTGTCCATCTTTGAAAGAGTACAAAAGCTTTTACGTGGCCTTGTGGCTGATGAATTATTTTCCATCCTGCAACCTTTATCCCATAGACAAAACCCTGCTAACCTCTCATTAATGTATCTTTACTACTTTGGCAAATGTTCAAACGAGCTACATTCTTTAGTCTCACCAGTTCGGCCTTTCTTATCTTACTTCCGTCGAACGGAACAACGGATTGACTTGTGGGACAAGGCTGCCCTTTTTCTGGCATACGCCTGTTTGTGTAAAAATAATGAGGGTAACAAACAGGCGAGAAAGTGTCTGCCAGTCGACGACTCGGCTCTACGTGGTAGTGATCGTCGGCGTACTGTTACGCGGCTCTGGCGTGTCACTGGCCGCATCCGACGACGACGCGCACTCACCTGTCTACACCTTTTGACCGAACGATTGACGCTGCAATTCGAAAGACAACTCTAGCATACCCGCCATACCTTGATATCAAATCACCTCCTTTCTCTTTAAGAAAGAGTACATATCTCTCAGACAGCTTCTTCACCTGAACAGTTACCATGTGGAACAAGCTTCCGAGAGAGTGCTTCTCTGACCACTACAATTTAAATCTCATCAAATACTGGGTCAACAGTTATTTATCCTACATATCATCATAATATGTACATCATGCTTCTTCATTTTCCCTCCCTTACAACGATCTCACTTTAACTTGAGCGGCCTTTGAGTCTTATATTATAGTGAAGTTTTAAGTATCCATAGTACAGGTGCTAGCTACGTAAATTCAAATCTACTGCGATGTATCTCAAACATCTTGCAGCTAGACCACATTTTCATAATTGGATTGCATTTTGGTCATTTACAGACAAGCTAGGTTTGTTCGCGTCTTGGACTATGTAAATGGTTATTTTTATCCAAACAACTGAAACATTGCAGTGAGAAGGAAATGATTGGGCATCAGTTTATTTACCCTTTTCCAAATTCTCCCCTTCCATTTTGCGATTTCACCTCGGGATATGATTTCCAACACTGGCGTTATTCTTATTCAAGATTTCCCATCATAATCTCTTCCTTCCTCTTTTTTCTTTCACATTTTCCTATTTTTGATACGATTTACATTCTTTTTTTCTTTTTCCTCTCCTTTGATTTGTCATGTTTTTACTTACACCTTTTATTCTTGCTTCTTCTTGTCAATACACACACACATATATATATATATATATAGAGAGAGAGAGAGAGAGAAAAAGTTTCAAATTGAAAATTATAATGTTTTATTTTATGAAAGTATTTATTTATTTATATATATATTTGATATTTCAAATTGTCCTCAATTTTTCATCAGAAATAACTGTTTGTTACAAATAAATTAAAATTACTGTTTGTTAGCAAGTAGCGTCCTTCGCGAGACGCGGACGTCACGTGATATGGAACGTCACTGTTCGGATATTCCTAACTTAAATCTAACTGTCATAAATATTTAAAACAATTTTTTTACTATATCTAAAAATATATATATATATATATATATACGATCTTTTGCCTGAACTCATTCTGCAGAAATATACGCACTTATCTTTTCAGCTTTATTTAACTTGCCACCCTTCCTCTTTCTTCCTCTTGTAGTTCATCTTGTCTTTCCTCCACCTTCCACCTTCTTTTACTCGTTCTTTTAAATTTTCACCTTTTTCTTGTCTTTCATTTTTCTCCTTGTCCTTTCTTCTTTCTTTTCTTTCCCTTCTTCTTCTTCTTCTTCTTCTTCTTCTTTTTGGCCTTGATCCTTCTTTTCGCAATTTCTCCTTTTTTTATTGCCCTTCCTTTTTCTGCTTTTCCTTTTATCTTCTTTTTGTCCTTCTTCCTTCCTGTCCTTTCGACTTCCGGCCTTTCCTCCTTTTGTCTTTTCTGTTTTTACTTGTTACCACTTCCTCTTCTTATCCTTCCCGCTTACATTCTTGTCCTCCTTGTCCTTCTTCCGTCTTCATTTTGTTATTTCTCATGCACTTTTCATGAACTTCCCCCTTCTTCTTTTCATTCTTCTTCTTGTCCTTCTTAATTTTCTTGTCTTTCTTCCTGATTTTCCTACTACCTTTGGCGTTCCTCCTTCTACTTGTTGTTCTTTTTTTTCTTCTTCCCCAACTCTTGTTTCTTTTTCCTTCCTCCTCCTCTTCTTCTTCATTCTTCTTCTTGCTCTTTCACCTCCTTCTTTTTCACCTTCCTCCTCTTTCTGTTTGTCATTCTTCCTTATTATTATTGCTCATCCTTCTTGCTGCCCTTCTTTCTTGCTATCTTCATTCTTCTTCTTGATCTTCCTCTTCCTCCTTGTTGTCCTTCCTCTTAGCATTCCACATCCCTTGTTCTTTTTGTACTTCATTCTCCTCCTTTAATTTTCTATTTCTTATCGTTCCTTTTTCTTCTTGTCGTTTCTCCTTCCTTCTTCTTGTCATTTCTTCTTTTTCCAACTACTTTTTGACATTCCTCCAAATCTTTCACTTTATTTCTTCGTTGTTGTTTTTCTTCGTCTCCAACGCTTATCCTATTCTTTCTTTCTATAATGGTGATCATCTCTTTCTCCATTATTGCATTATTCTTCTTAATATTATATTTTCTTCTTATTCATGCTTTTTTTTTTCTAACCCCTTCCATTCCTCAGGTTATATTCTTTCTTTTTCTTTCCTATTTCCTTCCAAGTCATCTTTATTGGCTATACTTCCTCTATCTGATATTTATTCCTTCTTCATGCTACACCTTCTTTTATTATCATGATAATTCTCAGACCAATTCTTCGGCCGAATTTATCCCCTCTACTTTTTTCTTCTTTTCTCTTATAATCGAATTCTTTTTTTTTCTTCAGTATATTTTTGTACTTCCCTCTAGACTTTTATAACCTTTTATGTCCGTTCTTATTCTTGTCTCCTCCTCTTCAGCTCTGATGACGTCATTTCCGCTGTCTCTTTATAATTTATACTCCTGTCTTTTCTAGTAATTTTATACTGTATTTTTTTCCCTTTATGTGCCAATGTTTCTATTTCGTCATATATGTATGTGCGTGTTTGTCTGAGTGTGCATACATATATATTTATATGTACATGTATAAATACATATATATTACATACACGCGCACACACATATGTATATTATGAAATGGATTAAATCCGAAAATTATTTCATATATTTTCTGTTTATACGTTATTTTATAGATACAATTTATTTAAGTAAATGCTCTTTTTTTAATTAAGTAGTATTAATTACATTTACTTGCTTGAATGTTCGAGTAATTTCGTATAAAATATACGTTCTTCAACAGGAATCGAACCTGGGTACCATACGGAACAGTCATTTGATCTTTTGTGCTATACCACTTATCTATAGAGAAGCATCGCGTTAGCGATGTCCAATTAAAATTTTTAAAGAACAAATCTTCGATAATCTTTCCCGAATGATCATATCTGCACAAGAGACGTACCTTCAGTCCGATAAATGTAATTCATATTGTTTAATTTAAAAAAAAAAGACAGAACATTTACTTAAATAAATTGTATTTATTAAAATAACATATAAACAGAAAATATATCAAATAATTGTCAGACTTAATACATTTCATGATATGTTGTCATTGTTTACGTTAAGGTACGTTTCTTAAGCAGATATGATAGTTTGGAAAGATCGTCGAAGATTTAGACTTTGCTAATCAGACGCTTCTCTATAGCGGTATAGCACATCAGATCAAATGACGGTTCTGTATAGGACACAGGTTCGACTCCTGTTAGAGAACGAAAATTTTCTATGAAATATCTCGATCATCCAGGCTGGTAAATGTAATTATTACTGTTTCATAAAAAAAAACAAAAAAAAAACAAAAAAAAACAGAATATTTACTTAAATAAATTGTATCTATGAAAATAAAGTCTAAACAGAAAAATATATATGTATGTATAATAGCTTACATACCAAAAGGTGTGTAAAAATACCTCTTTTGTGCCTTAAAGTCCAAACACGTAAAAAAAAAACAGCATACGTACATCCAAGCATACAGCATATAGTATTCTCAAACAGTCACTAATCTAGGTAATGAGCAGGCTCAATGTCGCTTAACTTCGCTCATTGTAGGAGAATCCGTGTTTCAACGTGACATGGCCGTAAGCATGTATCCCTAACTGTCTATCTATCTATCTATCTATGTATCTATCAAGTTCTCTCGTTCTCTCTCTCTCTCTCTCTCTCTATATATATATATATATATATATATATATATATATATATGTATATAGCGAGCTAGCCATGTAATTCAGATTTATGAATCGATATATGTACCTCTACAGAGAAAATATATATCTTTTTCCAGGTTTCTTTACTATTCTTTATTACTTTCAATATAACTTTGACTTTTTATTTTACTTACACACACACACACACACACACACCCCCGCGCGCGCGCGCAATTTTAGCATCGTTTTTATATTTTCTCGATCCCCGTCCTTTGTGACTCCTGCGTATTCATTCTTTTGCTCAGTATCCTTCACTTTTTCTTTTCCTTTTACTTCTTCTCCGAATTACATTTCCCTCTTTCTTTTAACTATTCTTTCTTTCCCTCTTTTTTTTCTTACTCATTCTTATTTACTGGGTTTTTTTTTACCTTTTTTTCTTTTCTGTCGTTGTCTATAATTTCGTTTGCAGACTCTCTCTCTCTCTCTCTCTCTCTCTCTCTCTCTTCTTCTGTTTTCCTCTCCCACTTTCTCCTTTATTCTTTTGGCAAATATTCTTTTCCTGTCCACATAATTTTCGTCAGCGCGACCCTTAATGTCAACCTCTTCTTTCCTCCTGACCGCTCTGTCTCTATCTTCTCCCAGACTGTCCTTTTCCCCCCCAAAACTCCGCTAAACACCTTTTGCCTCTACGATCTCTCCCACCCTGACTACGTCATGAGTTATCTTTGTAATGACATTGCCAAAGGCGTTATATTTAAAGCTCAACTCACCTTTGTTCGAAGGCAAGGCTTTGCCGTACAAGGTTTGGGTTAGATGCTGATTGGCAGAGTAAAAAGGAGGTGGTTGAGTACAGGGCAGGGAAACGGGATGCCCCTGCCCGCTGATGAGGAACGATGATCGTCGCCCTTAGGCTAAGAAGTTGGGAGATTATAAGGGCTGGCCTATCATCAGTAATTACTGAAAATGATCAGAATAAAGTCTGGGTGGAGTGCAAAGATCTTCCCGTGTCCTTAAACCACTCTTCCTACCCCTCCTTCCTATTTCTTTCCTTGTTCAAGTTTACTGGTCAGCACAGGTCTGATTATGACTGATTTGGGCCATTCTACTGTTGGGTCTAACATTGCCGGGGCACAGCCTCGGCAATGAACAAATCTTTGTCATTTTCGACCGCATCTGATTTATATAACTGT